GGGGGGGGGGGGGCTCCCCTTCCAGTTGTGGGGTTACCGGTGCCCCTCAGGGAGAGGGGAGACCCACTGCCTCCCCACGGCGGGACACGGGGGGGCTGATGGATACGTGCAGCTGGGATTAATGATGGACTTTAGCTGGGGCGGAGGGGGAGCAGGTCTCACCGGGGCCGTTGTCGTCGTCGTCGTCCCCCCACAAAACACTGCTCTCCTGGCCGGAGTGGGGGGTACTGGGGGGGGGCTGCCCTTCTCCCCCCTCCCCCCATTTATCTCTCCATCTCATGGTCCTGCCGCGCTCGCTCCCTCTCTCTCTCTCTCTCTCTCTGGCTGGTGAAGGCACCCGGCTTTGAAGCTGCCTTGAAATATAGATAAGGGCGAAGGCAGCAGCCGCGCTCAAAGAGAGATTGGGGAGGGAGCTGGGGGACGGCCAGAGCGGGGCGGGGGGCTGCGGGGATGCTCAGCAACAGCTTCCCACTGCGCAGCCCCCCTCCCAGGGCTGGGCTGAGACCCCCCCATGGACCCTGGGCCAGGCAGCCCTGCCTGGAGTGGCCGGGACCAGTATGGCCGGTACCGGCAGCGACGGCTCCAGCTGCCTCCGGTGCCGGTGCCGGTGCGGTGGGCGAGAGTGAGCACACGCCAGAGTAGATTTACAGGCTCATCCCGGCACAGGCAGCATTAGGGGGATAAGGCAATAGATCCCAGAGACAGCAGTGAGCAGCCTGGCCGGAGGCTCCATTCAGCAGCTGTGAAGAGGAGCGGGTGGCAAACGCGGGGGCCCGTGGTCGGGGCAGCTCCCCCCGGGGTTGTTCTGACCCTGGTGGGTGCCCAGCAGGGATCAGTCCCCACATACAGACCTGGCTGAAGGGCTCGGGGGGGGCTCAGCCCTCTCTGAGGGGGGGTGTGGGAAGAGAGTGATGCCCTGTGAAGGGAAACAGCATCGAGCCGTTCTGCCACGGCGGCTGGAGCCAGGATGAGACCCCAGCGATGGCAGGCAGGAGCCATGAGCCCTCCCCAGCCCCTCCTGCCCTGCCTCCAGCTCCACTGGCTCCGATTCAGCACCTCAGTTTCCCTGGGGGGGGGCACAGTCCCCCTATTTCCCCCCCAGACCCTTCCAGCTGCCGCCTCTGCTCGTCCCCCCCTCCTTCCCTGCTCCTCTCCTCCCCGCATCCCCTTGGGAAAACAGGTCGTCCAGAGCCAAAAAAAAACTGCCAGAGCAGCCCGAGCACCTGCCAGCTCCTGGGTGACAGTGATTGACGAGGCCGGGGCTGACGGAGCAGCATCCTGCGTGCCGGGAGCAGCTGGCAGGGCACGCAGGGGCACGCGGGGCACCGGGCTGCGGAGCCAGGAGCAGCCAGGCTGAGCGATGGGGGGGGGAAACAGCAGCAGGGGGGGGG